CCCCCCCGCGTTGGAATTTCGAAAAATCCTTTCTTAGTGTGCGTTTCCATGACGTACCCTAACTGTGTACCAAATTTCACCTCTTTAGGTTAAGCGGTTTGCTCTGGGCGATGATGAATCAGTGAATGAATGAATGAGTCAGTCAGGACAAGCAATTTTATATATTTAGATAAATTTATTTATTTATTTATAGTTTATATATATATAGGGAGAGAGAGAGAGATTGTATAGAAGTATTCAGAGAGCGATGAGCATTAACAAAGTTATCCAGACGGTTTGTTCAGCTGAATGCTTCTAAGAAAGATCCAAACTTGATGACAGTTGATCCCAAACAATCTTTTAAGATTCTGACTGAACCAATGAATATTGTCAGTTTGATAACTATCATCCATTAGGTAATGATGTCGTGGTAGTTCTCTTCATCTTCCACATCTTCCAGAGAGCCAAACACATCCGTTTAAAACACGTTTTAATTAATTAAAAAAATATTAAATATTCCATTACAAAATAAGATTAAAATTGAAGAATCTCATTAAAATATATAAATCTTGATTAAAATTTATTCTACAACGTTTTTAAATTTAAGAGAAATTAATAATTTATACACGTAGAGATAAAATTAAAAAAGAAAAAAAAGTTTAATTTGATTAAATGATAAAATTGTAATTATTAAAATTATTAAATTGCTTCGTTTTGAATTATGTATTATTCATTGATGAAAAGTTTAATTAATCATTAAAATTTGAATAAGATTTCTAAACTTGGCATCAATGGGAAGATGCTGAGAATTAGCATTCATAATGATGAATAATCAATCTAAAAGAAACGTTAACGAGATATTAATTAGGAATAAAATGATGCAGTCTCATTAAAATATAATATAATGGCTACAAAAATAATAAATAACGATGAATACTTAAAATAATAATAACAATATATAAACTGTAAAATATATATATATAATTCGAGTTAGTCTATAGATTATCAATTTAATTAATTAAACTGAAGTACAGTACTTAAACACATAAAAAATATAAATATTTATAATATAAATCAATAAAATAGTCGTAAAAAACTTTTAAAATTTAAAATTCGAATATTTAAAAAATATCGATTCCTATTGGCTTTTTTTTCGACCAATAATTTGATACTCGACTTCGGAAACCACGCCTATTTTTATTTAAAAATTTAATTTTATCCAATCAGAGAAGGTATATTCATCATTCTTATTTCTCCTATTTTTTGTTATATAATTGCACGACCCAAAAAAAATTTTTTTAGATTTATTTATATATAAAATTATGCAAATTTTTTTGATGTTTTAAAAAAATAATAATAATAAATATATAAAGTAAATTCGAGAATTTAGATCGATGAGAGCGATCGAAATTTATAGGTTCCATCGTTATATTTAGGTTGAATTTCTAATTTTAATCTGTGAATTTTTGTTTACTTTCGTGTTTATATTTTACACTATTAAACTATTATAAATTGTTACTCTTAAAGCATTATAAAAATTATAAAAACTGAAGTTTATTGGACGTATCTACATTACTAGTGTAAGAACTAAAATGTTTCCATAGTTTATTGCTATCTTTGATTAAATAATTTACATACTCCTGGATTTATGACTTCAAATATTTGAATTTTGGAAATATTACTAAATTCTAAAAATTTTTTTATAAAAAGAATCTGGATTCGAAAAATTTACATTTTTCGGGTCTTTTTTTAGATCTGGCTTAATATTTTTCGTAAAATTTGAATTGCTAACGTGTAATGATGTTCGAAAATTTTCTCAGAGAAGAATTTCCTGAGAATTCTAACAGGAAATTTTTATTTTTTTGCTATCGCTACAATTGATTTCGAAATTTTAATTACGGCAGGGGATTCTAAACTTGAATTTTTTCTATAGCTAAATATTTTATTTTTAATTATTTAATTCTTAAAAATACTCATAAATCTTAATGTATAAATTGTAAATGCAATTCGATCTCAGCGAATAGTGGCAATTTTTCATCTTAGTTTTTGTTTTTCCCCCCCTTCTGCCATCAATTTCTTTTTCATTCTAAGAATATTTTAATAAAAAGCCAGACAAAAAAAAGAGAAAGTTGGAATCGGAAGATTCTTCCTCAAACACGGGCATTCCTTCTAGAAGACCAATACGTTTTCACGTGGCCACCATTGCCGCCATCTTAGCGTGTTATAAAAAAATCTAATTTACATTATGATTTTGAAAGTATTTCTAGAATCTAAAATTATTACATTTTATGTTTTTATATTTATAGTTATTTACATCAAAAAATTTAAAATTTTATTAGTGTAAACTTTATTCAATTTACGTTGGATTTTTTTTTTAAATTCAATCATATAAGTCAATATCTAAAAATCAAATAATAATAATTTTAATTTTAAAAAGTTAATATTAAAAATATTAAAATCCTTATTTACGTTTTAGTTTTTATGTTTATTTAAAAAGTAAATTTAATTTTATTATTTTAAAAAATAACGTTATTAACTTTTAACACCAGGTACCGCTATTTACATTTGTAAACAAACGAGGTCAACGTGTTTAGGTTTATGATAAATGTTCAATTTCATACATTAATTTTAAAGTAACTTAATGTGTTTTGTATATTATACTAATCTTTAACTAATAAAAAAAATATCTACTTTATATTCTATTCAGTTTTATTTTTATTATAGATTTTCGATCTGAAAGGTTCCTTCTTTATTTGTTAAATTCTTAAATGTTTGTCAAAAGATTCTCCAGAAAAAAAACCTGAATTTTCTGGTTTTAACCTTCGTAATATTGAATTTCAAATATGACGATCCATCATTTTTGAATAATAAAAAGTAAAAATTGTCATGTTTGATCGAAAAATCCCAACATTCGATCGATCAGACTCATATTTAAATATAGTTTATGTATATATCGCCTTTTATATGTTGAGTTATGAGATGATAACGTTATAAGGACGTCTATTACTAAAATTATTGAAGTTTAAATTTATTGGAAAAACTTTTGACCTTTAATTTTATCAATCATACTTTAGTAACATAAATTATTTATTATATAGGTTCCTCTTAGATAATGGAACGTTCTAAGATTCAACCTCCTCCATATGAATATCCACCTCAATGGATCTCACCAGAAGAGGTAATGTTAATCATTTTCAAGAACTTCTAATCGAAATCCTTTAAATTTATAAACTGTTGATTATGCCTGATACAGGAACGTTTCTAGTGATGTATAGATAGGCACGAATTTTAATAAGTATTTTTTGTGTCGATATATTCATTCAGTTATGCATTGTTATAGAAGGGCAAATTATTAAGATTTATATATATAATTATGCTGTTTATAGATAACTTTTTAATATTGTTATTATACTACATGATTTGACACCAAAAACGGTGATTCTTTATTTAAACTTCTAATGTATTTGGCCTAATTGGTAGGCCATCCTCGGAATAAGTTTGAATAAAAGTTAAATTAAGAATTGTGCACTGATTATTCATATTAATCCTAGTAAATTTATAAAAAGTAAATCACTTTCTCATCTACTTTCATTGTATTTATTGAACAGTAAATAAGTTATGAAACACTACATGTTAAAAAACATCTTATAAGCTTGTCAACTCTTTTAAGATAAATTATCAGATAATGAGATAAAATTAATCATTTTTTATTTCCTGTTATTGATGGAGTCATATGCGACAAGATAGGCAATATGAAATAAAAACATTTGAATGTTCTGATACATTCAGTTATCTTGAAAATAAAAAGAATATTACATACAATTAATTAAAGCATTATCTCTTTTATATATTGTATTTATTCTAATAAACAAAACTCTATAATAGACTGCAACAGCAAGATGAAAAAAGTTTTAGAAGGCATTCTCTGATAGTAAGCATACTGTCTATTGGAGAAGGATAAGGCTTATTGTAAAATGAAAAATGCACATTTCATTCAGCATTGTTACTGTTACCCAGGGATGCTTGGGGCACATGCCCCCTTTTTCATCTGTGTTGCCTTTTTGTAATCTCCAAAGAGACTCTAAATTCAATTATCAACAAACAACAAAAAATTCATGACTTCTAGCCTATTTTGCAAGTATAAAAGAAACTAATGATGATATTTGTCCATCGTCCCATGCAACTTAGTTGTATGCTAACCAAAACTTAGCCTTGAAAAGAAGAGCATCCCTTGTTTTCAAGCTAAGTTAGTATCAATTGTAACCAGTGCTGCCTTGTGGAAGTGCTAATCTGACATTGAATCACAATTTGAAGCTTCTTGCATAATGTATGATGCCCTTTTTTATAGTCTGGGGGCACTGCTGCTGTTCCCTTATGTTAAAATAATAAAGTGCAAGTGTGTTGAGTGTTGCACTGTTGTTCAAATAATAGTACAGTGATAAAAACTTATCAGATTTATTTCATTAGTAGTCACCATTGAATAATAATTGCACCCATTCCCAAAGAATATAAATAATACCCTCTAATAAACAGCACATTTACAAGCCATCAAAAGTTATAGACAGCAAATTGTTTATTAGAAATAAATATGGTTTTATTAAAAATGTGATTATAACTAGTTATATAATAAGTATAAGCACTATAGAAGTGTTAGAATATACTCTTAGAAAAAAGTAGATTTGAATTTTAACATTATATTCTATTGTAACATATTCATTCTTAAAAAGCAGATATTAATATACAGATTGTTTCTCACTTAGAGTCTGTATTTATATGTATATGTATAAAAATAAGTTAATTAGACTTTGAAATTATTATAGTGTAGATCTTAATTACATAAATAGTGCTAAATATAACTTAAAGTTTTTATTTTATTTAAAATTACTATTATTAAAGTTATAGTTTATTCACCAATACCATATATTTTCATGTTATTTATAAATAATGAAAATCATTATATTGTTACACAAATTATGTATACAGTATTTGAAAATAACATTAATAAATTCAAACAAAACATTCGAATTTTTAACTTAAAAAACGATCTTTCATTTAAAAATAAATGCTTATTGATTTAGATTTCTGTATATGAAGNAGAGTACACTAACAAGAATTTTTGCACAACAGCTGTATGAAGATCAACATGATACCATAACCATCAAAATAATGCAGCACTAGTCTGTTGTGCTGCATTATTTTGATGCCAAAGATATGGGGATTTTATGGAATAATGCTAGGGTTATCAGGGTCATCAGGTCACCCATATATGCATAAACTAAAAATCCAAATATACAGGAAGAAGTTAAAAAAGACTCATACTTAAGTACAAAGAACATGGAGTTGCTACCAATGATGTAGAAGTTTTTTATATATGATTCCAGGCAGGATGTCCACTGATACTTAAAATCTAATAAATTTTGAAGACAATACTTAAAAACTACTTAATTTTGAGTATTAACATATGCTTCTCTCTCAGTGATGCAGAGAATTTTTTTCTGTTGATTACAAAAATGTAGCCCATCTAACCCTTTTTAAGTATTTCTACTCAAAATTAAGTAGCTTTTAAGTATTGTCCTCAGAATTTATGCATTTGTGGATGATCTGATAATCCTACAATTATTTTGGACAATCTCTTTCATTCGGTGATGCATTGAGTAATAAAATTATACAGTGTAATTTCTGACTTTAACTATGTCTATGATATTACAAGAGGTAAACTAACAGATAACATAAATAAGTGAAAAAATTTTTAACATAGAACATTAATTTTTCAACTAAATTCCTATAAACATTTAGGCATTTTTCTCAATGTTCTATCAGCTCTGAAAATGAGAACTTTAGGTAGCATGTTGTCAGAGTCACTGAAATACATGTTCCTCAATCTCTTCATCACTCGAAAAATGTGCATTTTTTTCATGTGATGAAAGTGATTATATAGCAATTTCCACCTTTATGAAGTTTTCGAAGAACACTTATGTATTGCACAATGAAGAAGTTCATGAACATGTACTGCTATGACTGTAATCAACTGACTTTTATGCAGCATGTTTCAGAAGCTTGTAGAACATTGGGACAAGTGCTTGAATGTTTATAGGATTTGGTTTAAGAACAAATGCTCTATGTTAGAAATTTTTTGGTAAGTATCTAACTTAATTTCTGACTTCCCTTTGTATTATTGTATTAGTATCTGTTTAGTTATACTTTGATATATTATTTAATATTTTTCTATTAATTGTCTATTCTAAATTTTATATCTCATAGTAACTTTTGTTTATAAGTATGTTGTAATTGAGAAATATTTTCTTTTCTCTTAAGCATTTAAAAATCATTAATTCTTATAATATGTTTGCACTTTACACCGACATATACTATCACTATAACATTTATGTGCAGTGGCGTTACAGGAGTGGAGTCCCGGACACAGAAATTTATCTGACTTTTGGAGAAAGATCTTATCCGCTAGCACTTTCAGTAGTGTAAAACTACCATCATCAGGCGGTACATAGAATACGATAGTTTAAGCTTTCCGAACGATATTCCAACGGTTTTTCAAAATTTCAATATCGAATATTTCGAACGATATTTCTGACAGTTCAGCTGATTATGGTTTTCAAATGTTATTTAAAAGTTCTTACGTCATAGTGCATAGATAAGAATGATAATAAATAAAAGTATCATAGTGGGAAATAGCCATAAAAGAGTTTAGTTCATGCATATAGTGCGCACCAAGGCAAAATAAGCATATGAGCAACAAAGGAGTATTAATATCTTGGGTTGAGTTGTTTGAAAGCTGTTATCCAAATTCGTGGGAGCTCGAAAGTTGGGGAGTTACACAGTGTGGTAGTAGAAATGTCATTAATTCTTAAAAAAAAGCAGTTGATAATGCGTAGATATTTGTAGCTGTTAATGAATATTTATTATGTTCTTGTTTGGTAGTAAATATGCTTTAATTACAAAGAGATTTAAAAATAGTTTAATGGCTTTTTAAAACTTTGTTTTATTTCCATGTTTTATCAATATTCACTTTAAGTGAAATTGGATCTTAAAGCAAGCTTTGTCATGTAGTCACTACATGGCATTACATTGTAATGAATAAAATAGGCTGAAAATCTCTTTCAGTGCTGTGTGGAAGTGTGTTGAAATTCTGAGACAAATCAACAAGGGCCAACGTCCAGAACTTTGATCCTTACTGAATGGTCATATGAATCATATGAACAAATCTTGGAAAAATTAGTCATTCTATAGTTTATTTCAGACATCTAATTACTTCAGCTTTATAACAGAGATCTAAACAACAGTATTTTGGCATCAAATTATTAGATGATGGTATTTTCTAAAGTAATTTATTTTTCTAATGAAAATAAGAACGAGAATTTTTCAGTGTAAGAGCACCATAAATATGACATTCTAGCTAGCAATTTCGTGGTTGGATCAATGGGATCCAACAATTGCATATTGCAGAATAATGTGCCACCAAACTTAGTTGTGCTCAGAATGTAATCTGAGTACAACTAAGTTTCTGATGCTCAAGTACAGTACCTGTTGAAGCTGCCAAAGTTCATGATATGAGAAAAAGCTTAGTATTTATCTGAAAGTGCACAAGAATATCTAAGTAATACTGAGTGATGAAACTGCTGGTCACAACTCATCAGATGGAAAGTAAGAAAAAAAATGACAATTCCTAGCTTTCCTCACTTATGTTGTACACAAAATTTTATTGTGTATTCAGAAAAATGTTAGAAAGTTGTCTACATATGAAATTAAATGGAAATACTCTGAAGATTTAATAAAAATCATTTTAATTGCAAGAAGCAATCTGTGTTACTTTTCAGTTCAAAATGGACCAAAGTCCAAGACTCGCGTTCTCCATTGTTACAAAAACATGCCAAAAATGTAGTTTCCACCAATGGTAAATGAACATAATTTGTCATTTAATCCAAATCACAAAGATTGTATTTTTCAGTGTGTTCAGTTTTTTAGAATTCCTGAAAAATTAGATTCTCTGGATATCAGTCCTTTTTGAATTGAGAGGTTCATTTAATACAAGATGAGTGATTTGTATTATTTTATAGTAGTATAAATTATTTATACATCTGGAAGCAAAGATCACAGTGATCTCAATGCTGTAATTGGTAATGCTTTTTCCTAATATTCGGGAACTGCATGGTTTGAATTTCACTCTTCCAGATATCCCTAATTAATTTATAATTATTAAATATAACATGCAATGATGGCAACTTTTTTCTCTGAAATATTTCATTACATGTAACTAGGAACAGTTCTGTATTTTTTATGTTTAAAATTTAAATTATAATTTTAATCTATAAATTATTATTTTATTATCATGCATTATCATATTTCACAGCATATAAGACATAATTTTTTTTTGTTTTTTACAAAAGGGCTCAAAAATTGCCATGCATCTTATAAGCAAATAGGATAATGAATCTCCCAAATTGCATGCATTGATATTCAGTTACCAGCTTAGCTACAGCAAAAAAAACTTTTATGGTAAAAGCGTTTTTATAATAAAGCCATTAGGTGGAACTCTAGGGTCAAATTGTTTGGTAATTTATTATTATTATAGCTGTTATATAGCCCAATGGCCTATGGCAGTAGTTGGCTTTATTATTATAATGTATTTTGTAGGTTGTTTGTTTAAAAATTTTTTTGCTATAGCTGCTATGCAGTTTTTGCATGTAGTAGTTAGAATATTTGAATGGTAAATTTTAATTATAAATGACTTCTTTTAAACTCCTCTTTTTCCCTAATAAATAAAAACGTGCACTCTAATTATACTTTTTTTTAACTGTAATAGGAGTAAAAAAAATTTGGGCCTGAATGCCAAAGGTGTGGGATGGTTTAAATACACTAAATATTATGTGCTGAAATGGGGATGTCTTATATGCCATAAAATAGAGTTCATTTTAGGAGTTTGTTATATTTTTATTTAATAATAATGTTAAGAATATTTATTTACATTCTTATAACCATCAAAACTGTGTAACTAAAGTAAGAAATTGATACAGATTAGTATGAATTTGATGTGTAGTTATTCAGTTTAGTTTTATTACTTGAATCATTATGTATATTAATAAAACAATTATTTTATGAAGTTAATATAATTTTAAACTTATCTTTATTTGAAACATACACGAAAATAATATTTATAGATTGAAATTTTTATCTTTCAGAGACGATATCATCCTGATTACAATGGCGATATGAAGCATTTCCTACCTCGTCTTGTTAAGTTAAGAAGAAGTAAAGTGACTGACACTGTAAGAAGTTTAAAATTTTTTTTATTAAAAAATTAATTTTATACAATAAACTAATACATAAAAGTAAATAGTTCATAAACTGTTTAAGAGCTTGTTTATTTTTAAATCTCAAACACATCCCTTTTTAGAGTCTCAGTTTTTGTGAACAAAATATATCAAGAACTATTGTTTGTATTCATAAAAACATAGAAAATCCTGAAGGCAGTTAAAAAAAGTTTATAAGAAATTCAATTGTTTTCTTAATTATACAAATTGTTTCAAAAAGGTTGGGAGAAAGTCATACACATGTGTTCAGATGATTAACAAAAAACAAAGACTAGTGAACATATGCCTAAAAATAAACTGTTTTCAAGTTACTTGCAAAGTTTGAACAAAGTTTAAATTTTATAAAATCTCATCTTTGAGGTTATATGAAGGATTTACTTTATCGGCATGAAGTAAATAATAAACAACTCTAGGAAAGAATAAAAACGTCTTTAATTCAGTACAAAACAATGTCAGAATTTTTTAAAATGTACGACAATCAATTAATTAGTGAACAGATGTATCAAATAGAGGACATTTGAAGACTTACAATTTAGGACAATTTTTCAAAGCAACAAGTTTTTATAAAACTTTTAAAATTCAATAAAATGCATAATTAACTATTTTCCAATCCTTATTTTACATCAAACCAGATTGATGTTAAATAAGTATAAGAAAATAGTTAATTATGCATTTTATTGAATTTTAAAATTTATACCAGATTGATGTAAAATAAAGAGGACCAATGAGGAACATATTGTCCAAAATGTATATCCTCCAGAATTAGTAAAGCCTGTATATTTTATCTTCGTTGTGTGTTCCTGTGTGATTCATTCTGAGAGATTGAATCACACAGGAACACACAATCTTATGCTTACTCCTAACAATTAAAACGAGAAGAGGCAGTCAAGTACAAATATAACAATTTTCATGTTTATTGGAAATAAATAATCTTTGTAAAAATTTGCTTGTAACTTGAGAATAGTCTATTCTTAGACATGGACTTTTTTCACCTGGACCTCTTAAGATATGAATTTTTTATTATCTTTTTGAAATGTCTTATTTACTGCATGACAAATGTTTATTTATCATTTAGAAAATTTTCTTAAACAAAAATAAATATTCATTCACTCAAGAATAAAATAAAAATATACATATTTTTTCTTTACAAGAATTACCAAAACATGTGCCATTCTATGGTGATTAATGCAATTTGATATGTTCCATTACAGTTCATTTTCATATCATTTATCAAAATCATATTATTTAAACAAAAATGTGATATTTATTTCATTCCATTTAATCAACAAGTAGATGTATGTTTTAAAGTATTTTTTAGTATCATGTATGTTTTTATGAGTATCTCTATAATTTCAGAACATCTTATATAAATAATTTGAAACAATTACTTTATGAATTAAAAACTCAACATCAAACAAGTAATAGATTATTTTAAATCTGATGTTTTTGGTATACATATAGACCATCATCAAGATCAGGCAGATAGCAAAAATTTTAAATGGTTGATACAAATCCACAAATAGACATTATAAATAAATGAAAGTAAGCATAAAATAGATAAGACACTGTAATATCAAATTAATTACTGTATTTAAAACTACAATGTAGATCAGTGGTTCTCAACCTTCTCATTGACAAAGATCAAAGAGAGATTATAAAGCTGGGGTTTGTTAGAAGAATCTTATACCATCAGCATCATGTCACTTTACAGTGACATTTCTGAACATTTTCCTTTCTTTTTTATTAGTGAAAAATATAACGTGTTTTTTTTCCTGTGCAATATCTATGGGGGTCCACAAAAAAAAAAAGTAAGAGGAAAAGGGTCCATGTACCAAGATATATATGTCGTATACGTATTCAATATTTTAAATAAATTATATTTTAACTCTTATTCAAGAAATGAGTAATAAAGAAATTGACAATATATAATACTGTAGAAATTTAATTCTCAATAAAACAATTGTTTTGAAGTAGAATTATCCTAAAGACCACTAAAATATCACTGTGAACTCCAATTCGGTATTTTTTTTCTGTGGACACCCAGTAATGTTACATGGTCCCTGGTTGAGTACCACAGTGTAGATAAAAGTTCAGATTTAAGGTATCTGAACTTTTATCTACACTGTAGTATTACTGATGGTGAATACTTCCAGGAATTATATAAGAAACTTTCATGACTCTAAATTATTGTATAAACAAAATCCTACTGTCTATAGATTGTTAAGAAATGACAAGGACAAAATTGCAGAGCAGGATTTACATCACACTGGCTGAAAATAATAGCATGGGGAGTAAGATGGTTATACAGAGTACACTAACAAGAATTTTTGCACAACAGCTGTATGAAGATCAACATGATACCATAACCATCAAAATAATGCAGCACTAGTCTGTTGTGCTGCATTATTTTGATGCCAAAGATATGGGGATTTTATGGAATAATGCTAGGGTTATCAGGGTCATCAGGTCACCCATATATGCATAAACTAAAAATCCAAATATACAGGAAGAAGTTAAAAAAGACTCATACTTAAGTACAAAGAACATGGAGTTGCTACCAATGATGTAGAAGTTTTTTATATATGATTCCAGGCAGGATGTCCACTGATACTTAAAATCTAATAAATTCTGAAGACAATACTTAAAAGCTACTTAATTTTGAGTATTAAATTAATTAACATATACTTCTCTCTCAGTGATGCAGAGAATTTTTTTCTGTTGATTACAAAAATGTAGCCCATCTAACCCTTTTTAAGTATTTCTACTCAAAATTAAGTAGCTTTTAAGTATTGTCCTCAGAATTTATGCATTTGTGGATGATCTGATAATCCTACAATTATTCCATAGAATTCCTATAACTTAAGTCTCAGGCCTTGGAGCTATTAGTCTTCTTTTCAGATATTTTTGATTTTTCCACTTACAAATATCTAGAAAGAATAATAACTCTGACAAAACATGGTGTCCAAATTGGAGAATACCATCCTCTTACTATATTGGACCACTAGATGGAAATCATGAATTTAAGTAATTTTAAACTTCTAGTCATACATTATCTGACAATTTTCTATGCCAGTTCATTGTCACAAGTAAAGAACCAAACATAGGAAACTGTAAATAGTAATAATAAAATGAGATAGGTTAAAAGAGAAAATATAAGTAACTTCAAGCTAAGGCCAACTAGCTGGACAGGTCTTCCCAAAATGAAATTATCACACAATTGATATCTTTATCGTATGGTGTTTTCATTTAAAAAGTTAATTTTGTAACTTGAAAGGTAAGGCATATCTGCTTTCTTTTTATTTTTTTGTATTTATTTCTTAGTTTTTATTTCAAATATTTATTTTAAAAAATTAGAAATTCACTTGTGAATGGCATAATGTCAAAGAGTAATAGCTAAATACCAATAATTTGGATTAAAATACACTAAACTCTTGCTAATCCATCTATTCCTTGCACAGAAGAGTTCCAGATTAGTGTGTATAGACCTAAAGTCTGCATAAAGGTAATAAATGATGTGATCTGTTCTGTCATGCTAAGGAAAATTACTCTAACAATTCTTACAAATTTGTAGATAAATATGAATTACTGTTTGTACTGTACATACCATATTAACAATAATTATTATCCAAAAACCAACCTTAAATTTTATATTCTTATAAAGCAAGTGTATAATTTAATAGAATATTATGTATTTTAAATGGTGCCTGCTAGGTACTTTAATTTGTAGGTATGGTCAACAGTCTTCTTGAGTTTGAATATTGAAATTTGGTCAGACCAATCCCCAAAGTTTCCTGTGTTCATTACTTTTATGTCAACATGATTCAAGTTGCTATCTCTGACAGAACCTAAGGTGTAACTCCATAGTCAGAAAAATTCGTCTTGAAACTACACTCAACTTGATGGTGGAAGTAACCTGCAGATATAAATATATGTCCCAGCTCAAAGAATTTCAGCTCAATAATGTCTGAAGATATTTCCTCCGAGTTAATGATGATCACCAGAAAAGTGAATAGACCCCAGTTTTTATTCTGCCCACTGCAGTTATCCAGCCACAGAGTAATGTGTCATACAGCATGAAATGGTAGCAACATAAAAAGTGCATAGAAAGAGCCAGAGCCGTAACTAGGATTTTGGATGCCTATGGCCAAGAATAAAAATGGCACCTTTTTAATTTTTATTATTAAAAAAATAAAAATGTTATTCTAAAAAAATGCTATTGTAAAACAATTATCTAATGACATTTAAATACTATATAAATATAAATATAAAAATATTTTTGTGTTATTAATTTCGAATACATATTATTCCGAAACCTTCTCGTTGGCGTCTTTATTAAATTGGCGCCTATGGCTGGGGCCTCATTTGCTGTATCCTAGTTACAGCTCTGAAAAGGGCGGACATCTTGCTTTTCTCTCCCAGATTCAGCTTTGTGTCATAGGACAGATGAAAATTTGATGAGTCCTCTTATTGACAGGAACAAAACTTTCAATAGAAAGAAGGCCTAACTCCAGTACTCACAAGTAGTTATAGTTTTTTCCTCTAGCACTTGAAGATATGGTCATTTTACCTTGCATTCAAACATTTCTTGTAGATATTGTAATTTAAAATTTAGCTTTCACCACTTAATACTGAAATTTGTACCTATTAGATATAAGATAGATTTACTAGTAAGATTCCCAGAAATGGCCCTAAATCAATTTTTAAAAAAATGTAGTTACAGTCGACCCTCCTATAATTACGGTCCCTATAAAACTACGAAAAAATATATGTATTTTGGAAATGTTGAGTCGGATTAGTGTAGAATCGATTAATTTTATGGAAGAAAATCTTTCAAACAGCCGTAGTCTGTAAACTTGACACGTGTCGGGCTGTGATTGGAACGACTTGTAAGAAATCGGATTCCTAATAAATTGAAACGTATCTATATCTTATAGGGGGCTCGACTGTANTTCCTCTAGCACTTGAAGATATGGTCATTTTACCTTGCATTCAAACATTTCTTGTAGATATTGTAATTTAAAATTTAGCTTTTACCACTTAATATTGAATTTGTACCTATTAGATATAAGTTAGATTTACTAGTAAGATTCTCAGAAATGGCCCTAAATCAATTTTCTTAAAAATGTTGTAGTTACTGTCCTTTTCCTCAGTACAACAGTATTGCCCTTAGATACTGAATTTTTTTGGAGGCAGGTGAACAACTATTATGACATACAGAAGTGCAATACTGTAAACAGAAATGAAATCTGAATAAACAGAAAACAGGATATATGACATGACCAAAATTTTCATGGAAATGGATGAACACAGGCAAACACACTGGAGGGTATGCTGGATAATTAAAGGCCAGATTAGTGAGAGTCTATTATACTACAATCTATTATTTATTTCATGTATTATGTTGCTAACATATAGCTTCATGCTTACACTTTTTGTGTAAGCGTGAAGTTTTTAGCATAAGGATTTATGAATTGATTCCAACAATACTCAAAAATTCCTGATGAATATTTAAATGTACTGAAATGTACTTAAATTTCAGTTTTACCCATTGGTAGACACCCTGCCTGTAAGTATTCACTCTCTTAACATACCTGCATCATTTATCTATTCCATAAGTATAGCAATTAATTTGATATTTATAGTGTCTTATACTATGTTATACTTAATTTCATTTCATTTATTATTATGTTTATTTGCAAATTTGTATTAACTTGTTTAAAATTTTTGTAATTTAAAGATTGCATTGGAATATTTTCCAATTTTCAAATCTGTCTGATCCTGATGATAGTCTATAAATAGGCCAAAAACGTTAGATTTAAAATAATCTGTTACTTATTTGGTGTTGACTTTATTTTTAATCATTTTTGAAATTCATTCTGGATGATTCAATAGAATATTTTAGCCATTGGTCTATTTATATCTTGCATTAATAATAATCGCTAATACATTTTAATTTTTTGTTCAAAATAAAGAATCTTTTATGAAAATTCTGATTTCAATATTTAAGCACTACACTTTTATGAAAATAGCCAATACCATAGAACTGCAAAACTAATATCCAACAAGAAACTGCTAAACTACGTGAAAGCAAATGTTTTCATCCATTTTAAATGGGTCATCACATGCTAAATGACCTTTGCAGTTCAAATGTAGCTGTTAAAACAAATACTTCAAACATAAAAGTTACTTGGGATAGATGATTGCTATCCATCTGCTAAAAGAGGGTAGAGGGTTGTAAGACTAAACTTCATAAATTGACTTCCACACGGGGATAAAGAGTCTATATCTCTAAAGTTGATAGCTAGATTTTTTCTCACAGCTTTGTAAATTTCTAATTGTTATAAATATCTAAGCCATTCTTTGCGGAGGTGCTATTTAGGAGGTGTGCTTGGTTGAAATTTACATCAATATCAGGGTCAGTGGCAAAGGTTGCTAATGCTGTGTTGGCCAGCCCTTTCGTGAGGGAAGTCTCATGTTCTTTGAGGTGGGTGTTTAAAGGTCATCCTGTAACGCCAATGTCTTTTAAATTGCAGTTGGCTCTGTGATTGGTACTGGGGAAAGTACCAGGTTGGAGGCACATGTCTGGATGGTCTTTAGCATTGTAGAGGGTGGAAATTGGACTTCTTCTGAAAGCTAATCAGAAGTTGTTATTTCTGGTAATCTCCTTCTTCTGTCATATGTAACAGCTTTGTATATGATGTCACAGCAGTGATTGCTGGATGTGATGGAGGTGGCAGAGGAATGACAACATATTTGACCTTTGATGATGTTCATAGAGTAGCCAAGTTGTCTGGCATACTGAGTGATAACTTGGAGTTTCTTATTCTTGTCTTGAACATCAGATGAATGGGTGAAAGCTCAATGAATTAGGGCACTGAAGTCAGCTGAAGAATAAAGGATCATGAGAAGGGGCAGGGGCGAAAATTGGATGGTGTGTAGGCTTCCTTTAGACTTTAGTTGAGATGTGTCCATTGGATAAAGTAAGTTGGAAGTCAAGGAAGTGAACTTGTTCTCTGTCCTGTTCCAGATGAGGCATAAGCCATAGGTTGGTGTTGATTTTATACAAATACTCTTTAATACCAGTTTTTTGCTGCCAAAAGACAAAAATATCATCTTTTGGCAGCAAAAAACTGATATTCAAGATAAATATTATTTAGTATATGGTACTTAGTATACATATTCTGTATGTTGAATCAAAATGCAGAATATGTACTGAACTACAATACGACTATTTCAGAAAGAAAACAGCTTTAAACAAAGAGGATAATTAGAAATGACATGCCAAAATTAATTTAAACGATAAGTAAGAAAATTGAACTGAATGATAAGATTATAAGTAGAATATGTATTTTGGACTTGATGATTTCCTTTAGATTTTTCTTATGATATCTAAAAATATAAAAATTAATCTTTGATATATATTTTCATAAGTCAAACTATATAATAATGTTTTGTTTTATATAGTTAGGATTTAATATCCGAGGTGGTAGAGAACACTCTTGTGGTATTTTCATTTCAAAGGTGAGTGCTTTACTCTATTTAGATAAAAATAAATATAAAAAACATTAATAGATCAACTTCCTATTAATTTGGAAACTAGTAAATGTTACATTTTATTTAAAACATTATGACACAAATTCAATGGTTCTCAAACTTTCTAAGGCTGCACTGAAGAATGCTATACTTTTTACCATGTGAATGAAGCATTAGCATCAGTATATTCAAAAATCAATAATCAAATTTCATGTTTATCACGCTTACAAAACAGTGAAGCAATAAACTTTATTGGGTAAATGTTTACTTAGGTAGTCCCTATGGTGGCACTTCCGGTCGCCATCTTGTTTGTGAACGCGATGTCCACAAACAAGATAGTGACCGGTGCAGCTACTAACTACACCGGTATTCAAATTAAACAAACTTCACTCACCGCAATGTTTTAGGTAGTCCTTTATTGTCATGTATAAAATAGTAAACATGGAATTGTCTAAATAAAGTAATTTATTATAGTACATTGAAATAAATTTGCAATTAAAACTTTAAATTTTGTTTTTTCCATGGAACACTCATGGCAAGTTTGTGTGTTCCATGGAACACAGGTTGAGAACTACTGCACTAATGACTTTTATAGAAACTTAAGATAATAAAAGTTTGTTAATAGTAATTTGAATTACAGATTAATCTTGAATTTAGAACAGCAGATTGTAAAATCTTATATACATTCAAAGTACAGGAAAATATTTGTCAATCAATTAAATACAGAATATATTATTGAACACATAAGTAGAAAAGGAAAATGTAATGCATATGCATACGTGTTTGGCAGTATATACATGGTTTCTATGCACTTGGAAAATCAGGGATTTTCATTACTGTTCAGAAAAAGTCATGGAAAGTCAGGAAAATTGTCAAAAGGTCAGGAAATTTGCCTTCTTGGTTGCCTTGATTTTTTTTCTGATAATATGCTTGATCAAGTGTAGTCATTTGCAGGCAGCAAGAAGTAATGTGGTGCAATACAACTTATGAAAAGAATATTTTCAGGACCCAAAATTTTCCCAAAAATTTACAAAGTACAAAAAATGATAAATAATCGTATTTAAATTAAAATTATTTATCACTTTTCATTTTAATAATTTTGATTGCGTAACAAAACAATTTCTGNCAATCAATTAAATACAGAATATATTATTGAACACATAAGTAGAAAAGGAAAATGTAATGCATATGCATACATGTTTGGCAGTATATACATGGTTTCAATGCACTCGGAAAATCAGGGATTTTCATTACTGTTCAGAAAAAGTCATGGAAAGTCAGGAAATTTGTCTTCTTGGTTGCCTTGATTTTTTTCTGATAATATGCTTGACCAAGTGTAGCCATTTGCAGGCAGCAAGAAGTAATGTGGTGCAATACAACTTATGAAAAGGGGTGCAAAATATTTTCAGGACCCAAAATTTTCCCAAAAATTTACAAAGTACAAAAAATGATAAATAATCTTATTTAAATTAAAATTATTTATCACTTTTCATTTTAATAATTTTGATTGCATAACAAAACAATTTCTGATTTTTTTTCAGTTTATTAATATTTTACCAGGTATTAATATAAAATTTGGGGAATTATTAAGTGATAAATTTAATAAATAATATATACTTTTGTACATGAATTATGAAGGTTTGTTAATGAATAATAAATAAATACTTACTTTTTTTCCAAAGCCATGTAGATTTATGATTAGAGATTAATAACAGAATAAACTACTTTAATGTAATAAAACATTAAATTTTAATATATTATTAAAACTAAATATGGCAATTATAAAAAACATATAACTATTAATTATAAAAAATAATACTTAAAAAGTTGGAGAAGCAATAGCATGTATGCATAGTAAATCAAATACTGTTTTATTTTATCAATATATCATACTGTAAGAGGCATGAGGGTCAGGAAATTTGTACAAAGTTGGTCAGAGAAAGTCATGGAATTTAAAGCAAAAATTTGAGTAGGAACCCTGTATATATATTCTCAACATTCTTGTTATTTATCAATTTTTGAGGATCATCCACACTGCTAAATTGACATTACTCAATTGACAAAATTATAGACTAATTTATCTAAGATCAGCAGTATGAATCCATTATCCCATAATAATTTTTTTTCATATTCGATCTTTGATGATATAATTTAAGAGTAACAATACATTATAATAAATGAAAAGCCAAAGAATAGAAAAGAATAAATAAAGAATATCAATTTCGTGTGTTTTTATGTTAGTCAATGTATTAATTACGGGTATACAGTAGACCCCCCCTTATAACATGGGTTCATATAATACGGATTCGTATAACATGGCGAAAAAATTGCGATCGTATTTGTATAAAAACACTAAAAGAGACTCGTATAATACGGTAAAACTTCATCGCCGACTCGTGTCGCGGCAGGATTGGTCAAATCTAGACCAATAGCAGATATTGCACAAACTGTTGAGTTTAAATGAGAACTGGACCTACTAAAAAACATTTATTATTCAATGGCCATAAAAATTATATTTTTATTAATGATGTCTCCAAAGTTCAGCGAATTTTTCACAGAAAAATAACTTATGTGAAAACNAATTTGTACAAAGTTGGTCAGAGAAAGTCATGGAATTTAAAGCAAAAATTTGAGTAGGAACCCTGTATATATATTCTCAACATTCTTGATATTTATCAATTTTTGAGGATCATCCACACTGCTAAATTGACATTACTCAATTGACAAAATTATAGACTAATTTATCTAAGATCAGCAGTATGAATCCATTATCCCATAATAATTTTTTTTCATATTCGATCTTTGATGATATAATTTAAGAGTAACAATACATTATAATAAATGAAAAGCCAAAGAATAGAAAAGAATAAATAAAGAATATCAATTTCGTGTGTTTTTATGTTAGTCAATGTATTAATTACGGGTATACAGTAGACCCCCCCTTATAACATGGGTTCATATAATACGGATTCGTATAACATGGCGAAAAAATTGCGATCGTATTTGTATAAAAACACTAAAAGAGACTCGTATAATACGGTAAAACTTCATCGCCGACTCGTGTCGCGGCAGGATTGGTCAAATCTAGACCAATAGCAGATATTGCACAAACTGTTGAGTTTAAATGAGAACTGGACCTACTAAAAAACATTTATTATTCAATGGCCATAAAAATTATATTTTTATTAATGATGTCTCCAAAGTTCAGCGAATTTTTCACAGAAAAATAACTTATCAGAAAACGCGCCGCCATCCGATGCGCCACTCCACAACGAAAACAAGCTTAAGCAATGTATCGTCAAATGGTGCACACTCGGTAAGTAATCCTACAAATTTTTGCTTATAGCATAGTTTATATGGATTATTCCCAAAAAATTATATGTGTTTTGGAAACATTGAGTCAAATTAGTCTAGAATCGATTAATTTTATGGAAGAAAACCTTTCAAATAGCCGTAGTCCCTAAACTGCATACGTGCCAGGCTGTGATTGGCTCATGTATTTAAGTGACTTGTAAAACACAGAATTCATATAAAACAGAACATATTTATCGTGTTATAGGGGTCTACTGTATTATTTATTTTTTACTTTTTCAAGATAAAACTTTCTAATAAACTTATTTTAAAATTTTTAATCAGGTAATGCCCAATACGGATGCAGAAAGACTTGGTTTAAAAGAAGGAGATCAGGTATTTTATATTTATTATTTGTAAATTAAATTTAAAAGAAAAACATTTTACATTAAATAATCTGTTTCATTCACTTGGGAAGGGTATAAATCTACATACATGAGAAAATAGAAATTATACAATTTAAATTTATTGAACACTAGCTTACCCGTTGCGCATTGCTGCGATCTCAGAAGAAAGGAAATTTAAGCAAACTCGTTATGACAAAATTCAATTTACATTTTATAATTTTTATTAAAACTTATTATTATTACATTATTATTTCGAGTCGATATTAAAATTTGGAAAAGGGGGATACCTAGATCAGTAAAATATGCGAATTTCCTCCTACAACTTCGATTGTTCTTCGGGATACAGTTGAGGTTTTAACGAAGTTCGAGCGAATACATAATTAGCAAAAAAGAAAGTTGAAATAAAGTGATTAAACAAAAATTATTACAAATATCGTAAATAACAGTTCATAAATGCATATATACAGATATTTTTTGAAGGGAGAAATGGTCTTCACAATTTGAAATCGATCGAACACACTGTGCTCGAATGCTCGTGTAAACGCGCGCCATCTATTGTAGGATAAATGTACTATGCCAAAAACCTTTGCGGGAGTGTATTAAAAAACTTTCTGAAGTTTTATGGCAATCATACTATGCCACAAACCTTCGCCGGAATATATTAAACAACTTCCCAAAGTTTCACGGCAATCGGATAAACGGTGTGGTAATGCATGAAGGACACACACACACACACAGACAGACACACATACATTCATTTTTATATATATAGATTTAAAATAAATGAGAGAAACTCATCCATATTTGTAACTCAATAAATAATGGTTTATTAAAATTAAGTTTATAGATTTTCTATATGAATGTACAAGTTGTTTACACACACAGACAGACACACATACATTCATTTTTATATATATAGATTTAAAATAAATGAGAGAAACTCATCCATATCTGTAACTCAATAAATAATGGTTTATTAAAATTAAGTTTATAGATTTTCTATATGAATGTACAAGTTGTTTACATTTATTTAATCATTTGACACAAAGTTTGTAAATGACAATATAAAACATTAAATAGGAAGCTTTACAAACACTTTATTAAAATAATGTGCTTTCAGGTAAATTCGATCTTTTTTAAATATGTTGAAACAGAAATTACAAAGTTAATTTTGAGATTATCAGTTTCATATGATGTTAATTCAATTTTAATTTTGATCAGATTATAAATCAATTTAAACTACTTTTCTTGGAACAAAAACTTGATAAGAAATTAACTTTCAGCTGTATTACATTAAGAATCAATAAAAGAAATTTCTCATATTCACATTTGGCATTTTCTTTAAAGTTTTTCACACCAAGCATTTTGAATTGAATTTATATTTAAAGAATGTATTTAACAGTTATTATTATAACTTGATAATAAATCACAACAAATATAATAGAGTTCCCTGTTCTCTTATTCCATACTTAATACATAATATTATCATAAAATATTTCAAGTATACATTACTGAAATTAAACTTGTCTTTTATATCTGTTTTTAGACAAGCTTGAGAACAAAGATTTGCCAATATATCAGAAATATAAATATTTTTCTATATTGTGGAAAAACTGATTTAATATATTTTTTATTAACACATAATTCTGTCATTTTATGAATAATAGAGATGAGTTTTGGTATGAAAATTTGGTTCTCTATCTGCAAAAGTAGGAAGAACTCAGAATCAAAATTCTATAATTATTAGTGTTGCAACGAATAGTATATTTTGCCTCAGGCCGAATACTGAATATTTGGCCAAACTATTCGGCTTGATTAATGCATGTATGAAAATTGGCGCGCAAATCGCATTATGGCAAGGACCCTGCTCTCTATTGGCCCGCTGTCACTACGCTTTGCCAATCACATTAATTCTTGACAGTTGTAGCGGACAGACATGAGCGTCATGGCATTATGTGATAAATGATGATATCAAATGTGGATAACAATGAAATGACCTACACGTGTAAATAACAGAAAAAGAACAGAGAAGGACCGTGAAGTGAAAACGTGAAAATAAATATGAAATTGAATTGATAACATAATCAAACAAGTCGAGGCAGCTTATTGGTGCGAAATTTGTGGCCATCAATGCGAAACAATTGTTGTCATAGACTTCGGAAAGCTAAATGCTTGTAATGAGGCGTGCACAGGTGAAAGCCTGGGGCCGTTCAAGATACCAAGCTGTCTCGAATCTGTGAAACCATAACTGTGACTTATACCGACGTCCTATCTGTCTCTTTTCTCCGTTATTACCAGGCTATGAGTCATGTAATTGTAAAACGGGAAATCTACGATAGAAAGTGATGAATCGAAGTATCGTGAGCACGTATTAAGATGTATGCATAGGCATACGTGGACTAGAACGATAGAGGAAAGAGAAAGGGAAGTGCAAAGACGAGCGCTTAAAAAGAAGGATAGGCAGGCCCAGACCCTCAGATGTGCGACGATTCTTGAACAAATAGGTGTGTACGTGTGCTGATCTTTGTAATTATAAATTGTGAATACATATGACTAATATTATTTTCTTTTTTATTTTGTGCATGTTATAAGTTATAAATAAATATAAACAAACAACACTAACCCCATAACATTAAATCTAAACACCAAAATGATTAATTTACTGTGTTTTTGTTATTTCTTACTCCTGGTTTTAGGTATTCGGTATTCGGCCGAATAGTAACCGAATATTCGTTACATCACTAATAATTATGCAAATAATGGGAAGATAAGCCATTCTTTTAATTTTATGTTTATCTAGCTATTTTAATATTTACATTGAAAAACAGAGAAAGTATTCATTTGCTTCATTTCATTTGCTTTAATTTTATTCCTCCAAACTGTCACATAAAACATATCATAATGAAGTTTTCAACACCAAAGGATGCTCTCACATTCAGAAAGCAACATTCATTCAAATACAGAAAAAATATTTGAAAATTTCAAGAAGTTTCATCTCCATTTTATCTGATCAGAATACTTCCTGAAACAAAAAGTTTTATAAAATAGAGACTTGGTGGGGCAGAGTAGATTTTTTTGATCTAATATTAAGAGATCTTCAGATTTAAAAATTTTATCCATGTATCCCATAATTTATATCATTACTCAAACAATGTTTTATTTTTAATTTTGAAATAAATGGTTACTGCACTATTACAACTTATATTCTCCTTTTTGAAAAAATTATTTATCTATAACACTAATAAATAATCCTATGTTTAACTTAAAATTCCTCTGCTTTAAAATTGTCTTTAAGTTAAGTAGAACTCAAGTTCTCATCTCATGATATTATAAAATGGAAGTTTAAATAGGTTATAAATTTTATGTGAAGAAGAAATTAAAATTGCCATTGTTGTGTTAAGTTTTGAAATAATTTTATTTTTTAATTTTTCTATATCTGATACAATCATAATAGTCTAAATATGTATTTTTTTTTTTCAACCGAATGACATTAATCTGCTCAACAATTTTTAATTTAATGATGGAATCACCTAACAATAAAACGTGAAAAATTTGAAAACAAATATAAAAAAATATAATTTGTAGTTTTCTTAATCCATCCTTTTCACAAAATTCAAATATCAGATGGGTTTTAAAAAAGCAGTTGTACTTGTTTTTAGATAATTCATCCACCGAATATTTAAGTTTGTGTAATACGTCATATTACTTTATCCTAATATCATCTCTGTTTAGAGATAATCCAATATATATAAGCAAAATAAAATTGATTAATGTTTCAAATACAACAAATACAAATTAAATATTCATCACATTCAATACATATTTAAAAACTGTGGACTTTACACATACCCTGTATAATGAATTCATAAAAGTTAAGAATGACAAAAAAGGGTGTTTCGTTATTTTTATAATGTAGCTATTTAAGTTTGTAATATTTTATAAAATTTAATAATCATATTAATATATAAAGATGCATGTAAATTGATTAGGTTAAATTAATTTAACTAATTAATTTAATCTAATCTAACTTAATATATTAAATTAGAAGCAATGAAATTATTCAATATTGATTTTATGAAAATTATTTAATAACAAGTAATTTAATTATTGTCAAGTTTTCAAATTTAAAATTTCAACATATTATTATTATGTTAATATTAAAATATATATTTAATTCTTAATTTTAATAATGAAATTTATTTTAAAGTTTTAATTTATGTACATTTAATATGGTAATAATAGTTTTCCATTAATATCTTATAATTATTTTTATACCTCATATTATAATAATAAGCATTTTGGTAACCATAGTTTGATTTGCCATAGTTTATTAAATGATGACTTTTTGAGAAAATATTCAGTCATAAAAGTAGAAGTCTATTGTATAACATTATAGATATTTTATATGTATTTCTTTTTGCTCTTTATCTTCTTACACATATAATGTAATGAAGTTTTTATGCTTTTATAAAGGAAATCATAATTTTATAAACTCATAAATAATTGTTTTTAAAGTTTATATGAAAGAATAATTTAATTCTTTGTTTTCTTTAACAAGTTAAAAAAATGAATATAACAAATGTGAAAAAAATCTAGATTCTTTTAATGTTATAATTAATAAATTAAAGAAACAAAGCTGTAAAATCAAGTTAAAATGTAGTTTATATATATTTGAAAATGTTTTTAAAATGATCTTTGTCAGGAAAATTTACAAATAGAACTAGAATATGTAAAAGAACATCTTAATTTAAATTATAACCAGATTGTGCATGAACTTTTCACGCATTTTTAAATACAAAAAGTATATTAATATGTAATAAAATGTAAAGCCCAGTGCAAACTAGTCAACATGGTTGCTTTGACACATAGACAGAAACTGTTTTTTATGTCATGTGACTGTTTGCTTTTGACTACTGCCAATGATCACCACAAATTGATGATTGACTGAGCATGAGTGTTACTAGTCACCAACAAAAATACAGTAATAACTCGGTTTTTGTTGCTAATTCATCCGAAAACAATCGGCAAAATTCAAAACGAATGAAAATCGAGGCAATTATTTTTATATAGATCAATGTAAATCTAATTAATTTGTTCTAGACACTTCAAAATACATACCAAAAACACATTTTATAGGGAATAAATATAGTATTTAATACAAAAACAATAAGAAATTAATATAAAATGAATATAAAAGTGGCTGATTTCAGCAATCTTAATGTTGCTCTCATATTTTTCAATGATTTTCTTCTTCAACTTTGTGTTCCTGGCCTTCTTCTTTGAAGGGCTGCTGGCTCTGGAAACTTTCTGTGGTCCTATGATGGAGCAAAAAGGAAAGGAAAGCAATGGAATTGTTTGGTAGAGGTGGAGGGTAATAATGCTCATACAACTCATACAACGAGAAACAACGTCACACCAAGCAGGAAAATGTGTGGGTTGCCCTTTGTTTTCACAAAATTAGTGGCAAGGTCACGTGTGCCAATGAAAGTTGAGGCAACCAATGAAAACTGACAAATTTTTTGCAAAAAAAATTGATGAAAACTAAAACCAATGATAACCGAAGTCAACAAAATCCAAGGTATTACTGTATCCAATTAGTCAAATACACTCTTCATCTAATGGACTGCCTACTTTTCATCGAAAGGCCTATCCTTCCATTGCAGGCAAATTTACTTTGATGTTGAAGGAGACCAGTTTGCTTCGATATCAACCAGTTTGTACCATGCTTCTTCTAAAAGGATTTATAATGTCTGTCTGTGCCCAACTTTCCTATCCTTAGGATAGGAAAGTTGGACACAGACATACATTACAAATCCTTTTAGAACTTGGTGCACAGTTCTAAGGTGAAAGTTGGGCACAGACATTACAAATGGCATAGATATTACAAAGGTGCATAACTTTCTTAAATTTTACCAAGTATTCTTCGTTATGTTTATGCATTAGACTGTGGCACTCATTCCTATACATTTGTTTTTGTGTGCACAGCATATTTTTGTTGTATGCATTAAATTGTATCAAAAACTTAGAAAAAAACATAACAAAACTTATCAAATGATTACATAGATGTTTTTCATAGAAATGATTTCATTAGCCATATGCAAATTTTAAACTATGTTCACTTTACACAGAAGTTTATCTTCTTTAAAATGAGAATAAATGACTATTCTTTAATAAACAGAAATGCCAAAATTCCTATTTAAGTGAGAGCCAATTAAAGATTGACAATCATAGAAATTGCATTAAAGTAGAATTAATTTTTGTTTGTGTTGGACAATTTTGACTGAAGATTTGGACACAATGTATTATGGAAAAGTTATCTTATCTTACTGTTTCTATATTGTCTACTTGGACATTGTTTATTAATAGAACCTGGTGTAATAAGTCCTATTAATTAATAAACAAGGTTCAAGTAGACAATATAGAAACAAAAAAGTAAAACAGTAAGGACATAGAGATAAAAAGAAATATCTTATTGTTTCTAATTGTAGAACAGAAGATTAGAGAATTGTTTCTCAAAAGTTTCTGATTTGCTAAAATATATACTGTAGATGACAAAATTTTTTAAAAAACACAGTAACTGATAATGGAATGTGGACTTAGTGGCATGATCATAAAATAAAGCAAAAGTCATCGCAATGCAAATCTTCTTCCTAATCAAAATTAAAGAAAACTTACCAAATTTGAAATAAGATAAAGATGATGCTCATCAGTTTCTTTAATTAAAAAAAAAATACAGAGCGTCAATTATCCGAAAAATGAATTAACCAAACTTGACTTAAGAGTGTACTAATTCCAGAAATTACGAAGTTTTTATGTAATAACAATTGTCAGCAAGATGTACGCTTACTATTGAGCAATCTCGTTATCAAAACTGATGTAAGGCAAAACAAAATAAGTACTTTATTTAATATTAATTTTACTATTATGTATTTTTTTATTTTGAATTTAAGGTCTAATCAATACATCGTAATAAAAGACTATATATAAAGATATTTATTTATTTGTTTGTTTGCTATGTACTCCTAGGCCATTTGATCAATAGCTATGAAAGTCTGCAATTACATTAACATACTTCTAACTTAGATATTGTCATATGTAAAGTACAACCCCATTTGATTTGCTGGTTATACATNACTAATTAAAAGTGTTTTAACATTAAAAATAGAAATGTGGTTTAATTTAATGTTTTAAATTCAAACATTTGTAAATCATTTATTTTACAGATATTATCTGTCAATGAATATAATTTTGAAGATATTGAACATTCTAAGGTAAATATTATTATTATTTTTTTCTTGAATCAATATGAAAATAATTAGACTATACAAAATAAGAACTGAGAGAAATGAGGTAGTCTTTTATATCTGAAACTGATGAAAAATTGCTATTATCAATATAAATGGGACTGTCTCAATGAGTGAGGCAACAAGGAAATTGACTCAAGCAGCCAAGTGAGAGATGAAGTAAAATAAGCAGTAAAAATATTTAAAAACAGAGAGAGTACATAAAAATAAGCCAAATACAGTAAATGCACATTAAAGTTGTGTATAAATAGTTCATGCAAGAGTGCCAGCACTAGAATTTCTCTCTGTTGTCAACCACTATGGAAGCAAGGATGGCAAAAATCAGTTTTGCATCAGGTGAAAGTTACCGTAGAGCCAGCACTGAATATAAATATCTTTTTATAGTAGAAATATGTACAGTACTTTTTAGATTTGATCGTTTGAATCTGTTAACCAACTGATGTCAGTTGGCAATTCAACATCTGCATTCAGCAGAGTCAACAGTTGTCACTGAGCAAAGGCATTTTCAGTAGCTATTACCTATTTACATCTGCCGAATGATGAGTAACATATGCATTGGAACAGGAGTTAAAAATATTTAAAAATATTTTTAGCTTCTTTATATAGAAATTTTAAAAAATGGTAATAAAGAAGAAAGAGACAATTAAGAAAAACGAAGAATCTGATCAATTTGTTCTTATAACAAGTTTTAGTTGATTAATTACTACTGTATACTTTTGTCGATTAACCACAACAACATAGATTATGTTGCAGTAGTCAATCAACAAAACTTGAGTTTTGTTGTATCCTATATCATTATGCTTTTCAAATTCATGATGACCCGTCAAATTTATATTGGAATCTGACAAATCATCATAAAATCATTCTGGCTCTGTTGAATCTAACATAATTAAAATAATACACAATATCAGTAATCAAACATATAAAATAATACCAGCCATCATTGGTCAGTTGCATTTAGTGATAGGTAGCATAAATGAGAGATGCTACTAAATGTGACGTCAAAACACCAAACATGTTCTGAAACAGTGCTACTGTAGAGGACATTCAGCAAGAAAAAACTTAACTGATTTGGAACTGTTGCGTCTCCTGAATGCAGCCAATGTTACACAATCTATACACTTGCTAATGATTTTGTCAAAATTATTAGCATGCGTTTTAATACTTAACTTTAACAGATTGAGCATTTTGGTCTAAACAATATACACATTCAATAAACTGTATTAGTGCTTTCGTAAAGAAAATTTTAATAGTAGTTTAATGATTTTTGATTAATTTATGAAAATACAGTTGAACCTGTCTATCTTGAATCTCACAAAAACAAGAAAAACTTTGAGATAGACAGGTTTCGAGATAGAGGTTCTTATACAGTAAACAATAATAAGTATGATTAGAGTTATGGTATTTTATTAAACTACAATAGCAAGTTCAGTACATAATCGTATTAGGTATAAATAAAACATTTTGACATATCTGAACAAAAATAGTTTGTCAATAGTTTCTGATATCTGACTTCAACTAATTAGAAATAAGTCAAACTCTTAGCCTCATCTCACTAGTGACCACATGGATAAAACCACTGAACACTGGTAGTTGGTTGTGAATTTGTGTCTCACCAATGGGCTGGCTACATGGAGTTTTCCACATTTTCTTCACAACACCTAAGTGGGTGCCAGTTTCCCATTTAAAGTCCTACCAGGAGGCATCTCCCCTCGTGATTGCCCATGTGTTGCATTGATGTAAATAAACAAAACCCTCAGCCAATCAGAGAAAAGCAGCATTAATTACAGCTATGTACTATATTGCAAGAGATGCTTCTCAACTATTAAAATGTAATCTTCCGGTTTTGAAATTGTAATTGACACTTCAGTCCATAATTTGAGATATAGAGGTTTTGGGAGAAAATTATTTGAGATAAACATGGAAAATATATTGAATTTAGGCTGAAAATACAGGGGAAAAATAAATTTTGAGATAGAAGTTTTCCAGATAAATATGTTTGAGATTAGTTTCAAGTATAATTCAATTGCCATGGTGGATCATCTAACTAATCAGCTTTTAGTATATTTCATCAAATCCTCAAAAGGTAAGGGAAAAAATGGTAAATTCAAGGTAGCAATAGTAGTATTATAGGATAATTTCATTAAAAATCATTCTCAATTTGATGCAGTTTATACAGGAAGAATATAGGAGAAAAAATGGAAAATAAAAATATGTACAAGCTGTATCACAAACAATTATTTCCAATACAGTAGAGCGTCGATTTTACGAATCAATTGGAAAATCGGGTTGTCCGGATAACTGATTTACGTACGAAAAAATAGTTTAACGTATCCGATGTCGAAATTTTTATCCGTTGCGTGTCGCTTCGCGTTGAATTTTCGTCGATGTTAAGCCTAACAAAGACTATTGTATCGTTAAAAATTATTTTTTTATTTTGTACAAACAAAATAAATATATTNTACTTTACACTCATGAAAAATAAAATTGGAATTTAAACTAACTTTTAAATAAAAATTTTGATTGGAAAATTTTTATAATATTAAAAAGACATTCCAGTAAAATAATAGAATTTGAAATAAACAAAATATTACTTTGCTATGTGCTGTATAGAAGTTATTAAAGTACTTATTGCATTTGATTAAATATTTTTTTAAGTTTTTTTCACCTCATCAGATTGATTGTCTTTATTTTTGAACACTAACAGATTCAAGCACAGAACATTTTTTACTGTATTGATCATGGAACATTTTTTAAACTTGGCACTTGTGATCACTTTTGATGCACTGATTGTGTCACCTTCAAATTTAATTGTTTGGCTCTGGATCTTGCCATGTGGATTGGCTACTTAATTTCATTTTGACCTTCTCACATTGTTTCCTCTGGTTGATCATTTTTAGGAGCCAAACTCAGGAATTTAGTCAGTTTCCTTGTTTTTTGTTCAAAACCAGCACTTTACATATGGCTATTGTCAACTCCTCTGCCATTCTTATAGCACTGTTTGTAAAGTCACACACAATTACCTTCACTCCCTCCTACCAAACTGTAGTACTTTTATTTGTGATCATTTCTTCTGCAAGTATCATTTGTGTTCTTTCCTTGTGAACATCCTTTGTGTATTTTCAGCTTGTCTTACAGCATACAGCAGCTACTGCTTATGTAATATTTTGTTACTGCAAAGTCTTCATATGCAACTGCACTGTTATAAACTCCACTGGACTGGAGTTTATATGTTTATTTAAATTTTATAGAGTTGATAATGTTAAAGAATACCAGAATTTGTTATAGAAGTAAAAAACTATTTGTTTTCTAGTTGAAATTTTATCAAGTTTTGAATTAAATGGAATTTAAATAAACAATTAACAATAAAGGAACGAAAATAAACTAATAATATGATTATTTCAAATTTTCGCATAAAATATATAAATTTGATATTGTTTTATTGAAATATCTTTAATTAAGTGGCATGGAACTAATTTATTGGGCTGCAATTTGAAAAAATTATAGACCTATAAATTCCCTCCATCATCCATCCATCTGTCTTTCCTTAATATCAAGAATGGAGTTAGATAGTTGAAAGTCGAGACCAGATATAGAATCTTTAGAGGCAGTAGGTCCCAATTAACTGTATGAACTTCCAATGCAAACTGGAAGTCATGTTATTTCAATTCAAAAATTTTTCCTTGAAAGGTGTTAGATAGATGACTGGCATGACTCTATTGTTAACTGGAAAAGTATGATGTGCAGGGGAAGCCACTACTAATTTGAGGTGGAGAGCATATATTTTAAATTAATTAAATTAAAAATATGATTAAAAATTTCAGCCTGACATTGTGACAATGTCATAATAAATAATTGCTCAAAGAAAACTGCCGCTTCAAACTCGTTAAATTAGAATTAAAAACACTAAACTGGCATTCCCTGAGCACTGGGAGTTCAGTCGTGGGTTTGCACTTGCGCTTGGACGAGCTGGCCACGTGGAGTTTTCCGGGTTTTCTCCATGTCTGTAATGCCTGAATAGGGACCAGTTCCCCTTAAAAGACTTTCTGAACGGAATTATTTTCCTTGCATAACACCTCTATACAGAGCTGGTAACTCTGATACTAACTTCCCCAAGACTCACCTTGGCGCACCACTAATCATTAACTAACCTGCGCCAGGTGCTTGCTGAAGTCAGGAATGACCGGATATGGCATGAAGAAGAAAAACATTAAACTTATATACCAACAAATTTTTATAACAATTGCAAAAGTTTTCATCATGTTGAACAGACATCATCAGGCAAACTAATCGCCAAATGCTAAAAACAAACAGGGGATTGCAGAACACATGTGCAGAGGGGAGGTGACATAAGATGAGAGAAATGGGGAGGGGGAGGATAGTAAGATTTATAGTTTGAAGAAAGACTTTCACACAAAAGAAGTTTTGCAAAAAATCAACTACAACTCTTACAATCTCACGCTCTACCTTGAACAGGACAATGAACATAGGGTTGAATTCCTGGACCTCTAGCTTTCCTCATCCAATGAGCACATATCTACTCAGGTTTACTGAAAATGTATACACTACCCAACATTCATCTTTGCCTCTTCCCACGATCTGTTCACCATCAAGATGGTGGGGTTTGGGACCTTGGTTTGAAGGGCATTCATCCACACAGGATAGAGATAAAGAGCACCTTACAATCACCCACTATGCAACTCAGCATGGCTACTCCCCATATACTATTAAAGGCCTTATATGTCCTTTCCTCCACCACTTCCACCTCGCAGATAAATTGCAACCAGGACACAAGTTATAGGATCCTCACTTATGACAGGAAGCTAGCTCCTCTTTACAAGGAAATATCCAAGAGAAATAACTTTTGTTTAGCTTTCCATAGAAGTCCCTCAATTTCTTCCCTCCTCCACAATGCTAAAGACCATCTGGACCTTCAACCAGGCATATACACTATTCCTGTCATTGATCATAGATCCAGCTGCCACTTAGAATACATAGATGCTACAACATGCCCTTTAAACACCCACCTCAAAGAACATCAGACATCCATCACAAAAGGATTAGCCAACATGGCATTGGCTATCTATGCCTCCAACCCTAACATCAATGTGGAATTCCGCAAAGCACTTTTACTGTATAACTCTTCCAGGCAACCCTTTCTCAAACATCTTGAGCAGGTGAAAATATATAAGGCCACCTGCAAAAAAACCACTATTAATTTTCATGATGTTGACTCCCCACATCATGGAAGTCTTTCTTCGAACTATAAATCTTACTATCCTCCCCCTCCCTGTTTCTCACATCTTACATCACCTCCTCTCTTCACACATGTTCTGCAATCCCCTGTTTGTTTTCAGCATTTAGCAATTAGTTTGCCAGATGATGCCCATTCAACCCAGGTGAAAATGTTTACAATTGTTATAAAAATTTGTTGGTATATAGGTTTAGTGTTTTTAAAGTTAGAATTATTATAGCATCATGTATTGTATCTGTATTCCTGTCCCTCCTGCTTATCTGATCAGGTCATCCTCAGTATTTCTTGCTTTAATCTGTCCTTTCCTTCTGGCCTGAACCCCTTTGAATAGGCTTTTGTCTTTCTTCAAAATCAATATCATATGAAAATTGAGGCCAGAGGCCAAACAGTAAAGTTGTCGGTCTGTCATGTTAGAGGACCAAGGTTTGAGTCTGGTCTATGTTCTGCAATTTTTCACGCGTGGTCTATTTCAGATATGTTGGGCCATGCCCTTCATTGCTAGGGCACTCTGTTGCCAGCCTTTCTGAATTTGTAATGTGCTCTCTTAGTCCCAACAGGGTAGAAACAATTGAAGAAAAACAGGAAAATTGATTGGATATTAAATGCAGATGGCAATCTTGATTGTCAGATAATAAGAGAATGACTGTTTAATTTTTACTTTTAAAAAAAAAGAAAAATTAGAAATAAAAATTCATCAAATCAAAAATCTGAATTGAATAATCTGTGTGTTATCTTCATGGAAATTTATATAATTCAAAGAAATATTAGAATTGTTTTGTCAATTCTCTAAACTGGTTGTTTAAATTTAACAATAAAACTAATTACCTATCTTCCATCAATATGGTTAATAATGGACCAACATTTAGTAGTCATTATCAAGTTACATATTCTGAGTAGAAGAATATGTAACTGGTGAGAGCTGCTAAAAAGTGATTCAGAAAATTCTGTTTTCTTTAAATAGTAAAACTGAAAGAAAGAAAGAAATTTAAAATGTTCAAATAATTCAACAAGTCTGAAGACAAACACAAAGCTTTGAAAGTGCTGAGCAAATAAATTTTGAAATAAAGAAAGCTTCTTAAAGCAGAAGTGACAAATTTTTTATAAGATAAATNTTTTTACTGTATAACAGATTCAAACATAGAACATTTTTTACTGTATAACAGATTCAAACATAGAACATTTTTTACTGTATAACAGATTCAAACATGGAACATTTTTTAAATTTGGCACTTGTGATCACTTTTGTTGCACTGATTGTGTCACCTTCAAGTTTAATTGTTTGGCTCTGGATCTGGCTATGTGGATTAGCTACTTAATTTCATTTTGACCTTCTCACATTGTTTCCTCTGGTTGATCATTTTTAGGAGCCAAACTCAGGAATCTAGTTAGTTTCCTTGTTTTTTGTTCAAAACCGGCACTTTACATCTGGTTATTGTCAACTCCTCTGCTGTTACAAACAGTGCTATAGAACTGTTTGTAACAGTTCATATTTTTCAACAACAGTTTTAAAGTGCTGAGCAAATAAATTTTGAAATAAAGGAAGCTTCTTAAAGCAGAACTGACAAATTTTTTTATAAGATAAATTCTTAAACTTTTATAACTCATTCATTACTTTATCAAATATATCTTATGTGACATGTCATTTGTATTCTTTCAGGCCGTAAAAATTTTAAAATCTCATACAGATATTGAAATGCAAATTCGATTTTTTCCTTACGGTAGGTATAAAAATTTAAGGCACCTTTTGTCAAACAGTAACAAATGAACAAATAGAATTTTTAGATTAAAACAATACAGATATAGTTAAATAAATAAGTTTAATTTATTTGTTTATGTGCGTATGATGTATTCACACAATTTATATATTTTGTTTCCTCCAGGATATGGAAAAACTTACGAGAGATCCACATTATCGAGTCACGGAAGTCTAAGCAGTCCTCAATAGCATATGATTGATTTTTTTTTTGTTTATTAATAAAATATTTTTTTAAACTCCTTGTGATGTAAAATTTGTTTAAATATTTTCAAAATATATTTTTAAAAATAAGTTGTCTTATTTCAAGATAATGATATTCAATTCTAGTTCCAAAATAATTTAGGTAATTGAAATTATATTGGAGAAAATAAGTAGATTCTGTTATTAAATAAACAAAACAGAATCACGTAAATTGAATTTTTGGTATAAAATTTCATAAAATTCAAATTTCCGATAAAAGTTAACTTTTGAAATTTGGACTTTTAATTTAACCACTAGATTATTTTTTCTGTAGTATTCCAAATGTTTGTGAGACTAGGATGAAATAATGCTGAAATTAATGGACACAGATCTATCAAAACAATTCTTCTAAAGATATATCTTAATTTTTGAGAACTTCATATTTTTATTTTTCAGTTTAAAGAATGGCAAAATTATTGTGTCAGAAAATGCACTATAATAATAGGAGTGTTCCAAATTGTAGAGTGAGCTTTTCTGGAATATTACATAATATGGCTTATACAACACATGTCACATGATATGAGATAAACTTAGTTAATTATATTCAAAGTTAAATGCAAAGAAATACATAAGTGCCTTATCATAGTTTTGTCTTGAAAAGTTTGATAATACACACTCATGTATAAAAAGTAAGTATAACCATTAATTTGGCCTATATCTCAGTCAGATCAATGAGAAACTTGATATGCAAGCAGAACATTTTACTCTTTATGCAATAAAATAATTGAAAAGCAGAAATTTAATCTAAATTATGTCAAAACCAAAACAAGAAAACCTACTAAGCATTGTCCTAAATCTTCTTGCACAGAAAATGATTAATATGGTTGCTGGTTGCCTCCTGAATGTGCACATCCTAAACAGCAAGTCCTTTCTTAAACAAGAGTGTCTTGAAGCTCATTGAATGTTCTCGGTGGCTGATGGGATGCAGCTTGTCATACAATGCATTCCATGAGATTTAGAACTGGAGATCTTGCTGGTCATTCTGTGCAATGAATATTTTTACCGTCAACAAAGTCATTGACAAGTTCAACCCTATGTGTGAGACATTATTGTCCACAAAAATGAAATCACTACCCAAGGCACCTCAAAAAAAGTCTCACAAGAGGTTCCAGTCTCACATCTACTTTGCAGAAGTGCACCTTGCAAAAACTTGGAGCCATTAAGCATAATATTGCTCAGACCATGATATTGCCACTTCCAAACAGGTTTCTGCAATGTTTATGGGACTGCATTGGGTTCCCTATTCTCTCCAGATTCTAATCTGACAAGAATTCGTTCAGTAGACTGTACTGGGCTCTTCCTGTGGATTGGATAGTTATGCTTATTTTTTGGACAAATGTATATACTGCATATTATCATCTTTGAATATAAAACATACTGTATTTCATATTTTTATATTTCATTTACTTTCAGAATTGCCAGATTAACAAAATATTTATGAATCAGGATAGGTTTTAGTTGTAAGACCACAACTAAAAACTATCCTGATTACATCAACTCACAGCCTTTTATGCTATTACTATTGGTTTAATAAATGATATAATCAATTGATGAAATCAGAAATTTTATATCCCACTAGTCAAAAAATTTTCCAATAGTTAGGTTATTCTATCTTATTTAGTGGAAACACTTGAGTTGGTGACATTGATCAAAACTCTCAAAGACAGTATACAAATAAAAAAAAAAACTAAGAATTACATTGTTACCATGTCAAATGCAGAAGTACAATATAAAAAGGGCTGCATATAGAGGGATACGTTGTGGTAACAATGAGAATTGTTTGAATTACATGGAATCATGTGTACCATTGCTAGAATGTTAAATGTATTTGCATACTTATTGTGACTATATTTGAATGTACCTATTTATTTATATTAAGTAAATTATACAGTACACACATACAGAGTTGGTGCTAAGTATGTGTGTGTCCCAGGCAACATGATACCTTGGTGCTCTTAACTAGAAAATAACAAGAATATAACAAGAAGCGTATTAAATAATATGTGAAAAAAAAGTTCATTTAAATAAAGTGGTATTATTTTCAACTATATGTATTATTTTTATTACAAAAAGTATTAAACTAGATTGTTGTTTATTTGCCAAATAATCTTAAATGATTTGAGGGAAAGAATTACCAGACATGATAAAAACAAAAGGAAGTCTAATGGGAAAAGCTAAATTAGTAAGATTTCCCTGATACAGATTATTTCTTTCCATACCATCTAAACTGTTTTGAAAAGTATGCTCATTTCTCACTCATCAGAAGTGAAAGGTACCCTTTCTAATTCAGCATTGCACTGTACACCACTCTCTCATCTCAATGTTTAGGATTTCTGATTTATGGCAATCTAAGTATAGAGTATGTAAAATAGAAAAAAGAAATAGAACATAAATATTTTAATTAAATATTGTTTACATCCCAATCTTTTAGCATTTATTTGGAATCAGTTAGTTATATAATAGTGTTATTTTAGTTTTAATAACTAGGAAAGGACAGTACAAAATATTTTCATAAAATGCATAAAAATTAACTTTTCAGTCATGAGGAAGTGATTATTATCATACTTTGCCAATATTTATTCTAACCAGGGAGTAAACTCCTAATTACTCATTTCACCTGAGCCTAGTAGGATTTTGATGGGTTCAAACTAATACCCAAAAGTCTCTAACTTTCAAGACGAAAACATTAATACTATTACAACTTAAAAATGAGTGTACAGTACATACCAAAATTATATTACAAAGCTCAACTAACTTGCAAGTTCTTTTAAATATCACAAATCTTTGTGGCAAAATAAAATGCATTGCTTTATCATATTCTCCTTTAAACAGTCATTTAGTTATCTTTGTATACTTGTCAATGCTCTATTATTATGCAAATACCATAACTGGAAACCTGAAAGCATAAAGTTTTGATATTCAAAGTATTCTTTGATAGTTTCACTGCAGAAATGCTAAATGTCTGACACAAGTTTATATAAAATTGAAATTTGCAATTGAATATTTACAAAAATCTTTAACATATTATGTAGAGTCGGGTTGTTTGTAACATTTATTATTTCATATTATACAAAACAAAATTTTAAATTTTAGTTATATTTGACTTATATTTAGTTAGTTATTTTAAAACTTTATATTTGTATATAAAAAGTTATTTGCAAAAAATATCTTTATCAACAAATCAAATAAATTATTGTAATTTTTTATAGATTAATGTTTACAAGGTTTTAATATACAAAATGTTTTTGATCAAACATTTTATACAAACATGAGTCAGTGATTAAAATTCATGTTTGTAATCATTGTGATCTGAAGAAACAGTTTATGAGAAAACAAATATTTTGTAGAAACTGTCCACAACCGTTTCAATTTAAATGTATGAAAGTGTGATTTTATTTCAAAAGAAAATGACATTTGTTTTTAGTTTCAAGAGAGATATTGGAATAAAATTTTTCTAAATAGCAGATTCGAAAGTCAGATAGTGAAAACATACTTATCACAGATTATAATAAATATGAATTGTGAATGATATTTCTTTTCCAGAAGTGTCATTAAAACTGTTTTAATTAAGAAGTTTACAATTTTATTCATTCTGTATCTGATAAAATACATTTTAATGTATAAATACTTATATTTAAAAAAAATTATTTAAATTTACAAAGTAGCTACATAGTATCTTGTCTTTAGTCTGAAATTCAGACACGTCTAAGAAAGGAACATAATTTTGCAGTCACGATTTCAAGTTTTCAAAGTTATAATTTCTTCGAATCGATATTGTATCGGTGATCTTTCGTTGTAATATTTCAAACCATAACAGACAACAAAAGTGCACTTGTATAAAGAATGTGTAAAAAGACCACGTTCTGCATCCTATGCAGTACCGTTCGTAACTTCCCCGGGCTTTACTAACTCCGACCGCGTCCTGTCCAAACCTTCCCGTTCTTCGCCGTTACGGTCGATTTCTTTTGCTTCTCCTTCTTTTTGGTGTTTAATTTTCCCATTAATTCCATTAACGGGAAAGTGTTCCCATTCAAACGTGCGGTTCTGATTTTTCCAGAAATCTCTGACGTCGTTCTGAAAGACGTCTTCGAACTTCTCTCCGTAGGGTACCCCGAAGAGTCGCCTGAATTTGTCGTAACATTTTCGAGCGGCACGCTTCACTTCTTCGCTCCCAGAATATTTTCGACATTGGAAAACTGTCTTGACTATAAATGGTGCATAAACTAGAGACAAGAAACTGAATTGATGATGCAATAACTCTTCTAAATTACGAGCAGCTTTCTGAACGTCGTGATCGTCACCACTCAGAGATTCCTGGACACTTAATATTAACTCTATGAGAATTAATGCTTTACGAATCGCTTTTTCGTGTTCTTCATCATCCTTTTTGCTTCCGTTTACACGATTTTTAACACCCAAATTCTCTTTCTGGTGTTTCCAACGAAGATTATTTCTCAATCTGGCCGCACGATATTGTAAAGTCGTGTCTTTCCTGCCTATTTTCTTTCTCCTCCTCTTTGTATAACCGTCGTTTGGACGTTTCCTGCGGATTTGCATCACTTTCCGAACAACCCACGAGTTTGTTTACAAATCGTTGTAGCTGTTGCCAACCGTAGCGTCTATAAAGTGTTGCCAGCTAGGACTTAAAATAGTTATAATTTAAAAATAAAGAAATTAGAAAATGTTTGGGCTTAGAAATTTTATTACAACAAATTATTTAAAGGTTAGGATCGTTTGGATATATTAAAAAAATTTCCAAGTTTATTAGTGAAAAAAATAAATAAATAAAAGAAAATGCAAAAGCGACCGAGAGGAAGGACGAGACGAAGATGGAAGTGATTAATAAACACGATATTTTTTTTCTATAATAACAAGAGTTATTATGGAAAAAATTATAAGAAGGATGATAATCGCCGATCTTTCTAATCATCCTTACCTTTTTTACGGCCGGATGGTGAAAGTTCTGGTTCTATTTACATATACAGAGGACTCATAATGTCACCACTGCCCGTGGTGACATTATGAGTAGTGATGTAACGAATATTCGGTTACTATTCGGTATTCGGCCGAATACCGAATACCTAAAAACAGGAGTAAGAAATAACAAAAACACATTAACTGTATAAAAAACTTCCAGTCTAGACCAAAAGTCATGTGATTTTAACACAAAAATTTTCTCCACGACCGAGTTAGATAGATGATCAGCATGAATCTGTTGTTATGAGAAAAAGTATGACGTACAGAGGCAAGACACTGCTAATAACTTTAGGTGCAGAGCATATATTTTGAATTAATTAAATAAATTAAAGTTACAATAAAAATTGCATCCCAGTGTTGTGACATATTCACAATGCCAGGCTGCACTTCCTACCAGAAAATGCTACCGCCCATTTTGAGTATATCGAAATCGAAGAATATAAATTAAATTTTTTTTTAATGTAAGAGAGTTTCTTTTATCCTATTACATGTCAAAACAAATACGATTTTTAGAACATATTTTAATTTATTTATTTAATAATTAAATTATCATAAAGCTGAATAATGTCTATATATCTGAGGCTTCCTCTTAACATTAAAAGATTTCTCTTTGAATTAAGGAATTGTTAATTTTTACATATTTCTGCTGAGCGCTAAAATAATTTTATTAATTCCAACATCTATAAGCACACACTTTCTTATTTATTACGTTGTTTCGGTAGCAAAACAATGCAAATAGTGCATAATAAACAGTTGAGTAACGCGATATACAATATTATAAACGTTTAATATAACATATTTCTAAAATTTCAAGCAGCGGTAAATCAATTTCGTAAACCAATGGAAGATGTTTGTAATCTTTAAAATTTGGTATTATCTTTTCTATCGAGGAACAAATAGAAAGTTTAAACTATTTACGGAATTATTTGTAAAAGGTAGAAATTGAAAATCGATAAAAACATTATTAAAGTTGCCTATGTGACAGTCCTTTATATAGAATTTCTATTATAGCTCATAGTTCAGCAATATAACTTATCAAACGTCAAAAAATAATTTTAGTAATGTGGCCAATTTAAATTGCAACGTCTTCAATAATGCTACTAATTTCATAAACGTACCTTTCTGTGTATATAACAGAAACGAATAAAATTCTAAATAACAAATCGGTAAGATTTCTTCCATTTTATGTAATTAAATCGCAGAAATCAATATAAATTTTACAAACGTATTCGTATTGGGCGAGCAGTTCAGTCCATTTCGCTTTGGCTTCTTTATGAAGAAGTACTTGCAATTGTAGAAATTGTAGGAGTCGGATTTCTATAAAATTAAATTTTAAAGTGTAGTCATTAATATAGACCATCGAAGGCTTTTCGATCATGTCTAAATCAACGCAATTACATCCTTTATATACATGTAATGCAATGAAGATGCAACTGCTTTTATCTACTGCAGAAGTTTTCGGATTGGATTTCTATAAACCATGTAAATGTCGAAAGTCGAAAGAAAAATCATTTTCTATATTTTTCAGAATTTACCAGCGATTTATCGAGTTTCTCTTCTGGTTTGCATTATCATTACTTATAATGATGATAATAACTTCAAACGTTCTATGCTCGGAAGTTTTCCTACCTTTCGGAAACGAAACACTTTATGCCAAAATAGTCTTTTTAGGTCTTGCTGTTTATGCCGCTCTTCAGTTTAGTATTCTGCGAAGAAGAAAAATAAATGCTCATTATTTTAAGACGGAATACGACGGGGAAGAAGATTTCATTAAGAAATGCGAAAGATATTTTTCTATTCTTGTGGCATTGTTTTTATTTTTTCTCGTAGTACTTTATGCAATATTTACATATTTTAGTTATATTTCTTTAGCCAAATTTATACGTGATGATAAAATACTACTTGGCTGCACAATAGTCACTCAGTTATGGGCAATTTATACGTTGTCACACATATGTTGTGTGTTGCTATTCTCGGCATTTGGTTTACTAATGGTAGCGAAACGACTTGTGGAAACCTCCAAAGAATTAGAAAATGCAAAGCGAGCAACTAGATGGTTTTTACCAAATCTGTTAGAGAAATTGTGGGAATTGTGGGAATGTATTGAAGAACTAAACGAAAAATGGAGTATTCTTTTTCCTATTATATATATAAATTTTCTGTACGAATCCAGTTTTTTCTTATATGGAGCTCTTTTCGCTAAGATACCTTTCGTCCTACGTTTAGCTATATCTGGTTTTGCATCGATTCTTTTATTTGGATTATTTTCAGTGTCTTGGGCACTTTCGTCATTTACATCGATTGTAAGTATTACGTAATAGTAATTAAGTATTTCTTAAAATAGTTTTTCAATGTTTAAAAAATTCATTAACTTTTTCAGGTATACGATAATTTCATTTCAATTGGGAAATTCTATTCGGAGCCTCTTTCCTCGGAGTATAAATTCAAAGTATTGTATTATCTTTCATTTTAATTCTTATGATTAAATATTATTTAATTTAAAATATTCATTTCAGGTGATTGGGTTCATGAAGAAATTTGGAGGAAGACCTTTTGGAATATCCATTGGGGGATTCTTTTACGTGAAAAAGAACTTTCTTATTCGGGTAGGAAGAAATAGTTTGTAAACTATTGGTAGATGTTAAATTAATACTACACATATAATAATATTAATTAACATTTATATTTATATAATAATAATAAAATTAAATAAAAAAAGGTCATCTAATTATTCACAGAAATTTTTAATTTCAATTATTAATAATTTTTCTTCAAAGTCAGACATTTTTATATTTTAATAGGTTATGAGTGGATTTTACTCTGTTTTCTCAACACTAATTGAGCTCACCGGAGTACTTGACCAAAAAAGTTGCTCTTCAAAAATTTCTAGAATTAAAGAAAAGATCTCAACGACTAATACAACAGTTTCTTAAAAAGACACCGGAATGAAAAGTATTTGTAATATTTACATCTTGCAATAGTGATAATTAATACAGTTTATTGTTATACAAAATGTTGTGAAGATTATTGTTTGTTTGTTTAATAATGCGGTTAAAAGATTTTTTTTTCCTGTTGAACAAGTTACGATGTCCGATAATTTAACTGAATAATTACATAGTAAATTAGAATTCTTGTAGATGAAAAATGTATGGAAAAATTCTAATATTTTTGTAATAAATAATACTACCGATAAATGTGTAAATATTTCGTCCATATCCACAGCTGTATATGAAAAATAAATGCATTATTAAAACAAATTATTTTCTATCAATAGATGTATGTATTAAAGCATATAATATACAAAATGTTTGTAAATTTCATAGAAGATATAAAATATTATGAACATATAAGTTAATGTTTTATATCATTAGGTGTTTAATGTACCATCTCGATATAATCATCTTCCATAAGGTAGCGATTACCTTGACAATAGATCTGGTTTATCGAGTTAATAGAATAATCTGAAACGCATGAATTATTTCACGTTTTATAATTCTATTTTATTAAAAGTCATCGAAGGTTATACGTTCTCTTATTAGAGAGGTTGCGGCTGAAGTTTTTGTGAACGTCGAACGTCGAGCGCTGCTTACGAGATAGCGGCGCTCGACGTTCGATGTTCACGTTTGAGAGATGAAAACTTCGGCCGCAACCTGGCTATTGTTTAGCAGTTATTCGAGTTATAGGTGTTAATACGCGTAGACCCGACATTCCTCTCCCTCCGTTAAACTATATAAGTAATTAATGTATCATCCCCGATTTAAAAATCATTTAAATTAATGAAATTCAAGTAAAAAAANACACCAGTTGCTGTGTAGTATGCCGGACCAGAGTCAAGGCATAGCAACCAAAAACTAAAATTAAATAAGCGTGTCAGTGTTTGTATTCAGGAATTTCCTAACAATATGGCATGCATTCAATATAGTGTCCTTTTGTAGAAGTATGTATTTTTATTCAATTATAATGTTCCCGGCTTTTGTGTAGTGTGTGTGGTATCACACCTGTACAGGAGAGAACGACAGGTACAATATACACCCTATCCATCCTCCACAGGTGCCTTATTTCTTGGGCGACTTCTGTGTACTTGCTAAATTTTTCAGTGCATGTGTTTTGTACATTGTGAGTGTTTGGAATGGCTATGTCTATAATGTGTGCGATTTTATTGTGTTTGTCAATGAGTATGATGTCTAGTCTGTTCTGGTAAATTGTTTTATCTGTGATTACGGCTATGTCGTAATTCATTTTGTGCGTGTTGTTTTCCAATACTGTCTGTGGAATGTACTTGTAGTATGGTTCGCGGATGTCTAATAATTTGTGTTTCTTTGCAAGCTCTTGATGTATTATATTTGTTACTTGATTATATTTGTGTAAATAATCTGTCTCTGCCATGAGCTTGCACCCAGAATTGATGTGTTGTATAGTTTCTGGTATGAGGTGACATTTTCTGCATGTGTCATTTGTGAGTGCTGTATCTTTGTATGTGTTTTCTGTAGTTTTTATTGTTTATGACCTGATCCTGTATGGCAATCATGAAAGCTTCCTCCTCCCTAAAGGGGCATCTCCGATCTAACCAGCTGTTTGACGCAGTTTTGTCAACAAAATCGTGGGCCAGGTCATAAGGATGCCTGCCATGGAGTGCCTTTTGAGCTGACATGCTTAATGGTGTCTATGATTGTTATATGTTGTGTCGAGTCTGTATGATGTGAGTGTAAGTTTAATGGCGTGTTATTTGAGTCTGCTAGAGTTACTGCTTTATGTAACTGTGATGTTTCTTGTTTCTTGCAGAAAAACTCTCACAGTGACAGTATTTGTTTGTAGTAAAGGTTAACTGTGTCAGTCAAGTCACGTCCGCCATCTTTACGTGACAGGAGTTAATCTTTCTGTGTCGGATTTAAGATGATGTTTATGCTTAGTAAGCGTTGTTTTGTTTTCCTTTAGAGTTGCTCGTGATCTGTGTGAGTCCAATGTATAACTCTATAAGAGTATGTGAGTACTGGGATGGCATATGTGTTTATTGCTTTAACTCTGTGTTTTGCATTTAACTGTGTTCTGAAAATAGCAATTAACCTACTTTGGTATTCTTTAATTAATCTTTGCTTTATTTGTGTATGTTCTGTTAAAATCCTAAATACTTGTATAATTTACTTTATTCCATGGATCCAATAACGTCTCCATTTTAAAGTGCAGAATCTTCTTTATTCAGGATTCCTCATTATTATTATTACTAACCCATCTCGATTATATGATAAACATAAAAATATATTTTAAGTAATTAAACAATACATTAAAAATTTTCTATAACATATTATAATGTAAAATATTGAGAAGAATATTTTTCGTTTAATATTGAAATTTATGTTAATATACATAATCAAAACAAATTGATTAATGATGTGATATACGTCTGAATCTACCTTACAATACTTTAAACCTATATTGTGGTAAAAGACATTAATTTTAACAATGTACATTGTTATAAGAGACTTGTTTTAAAAATTTTTTACCCTGTAGAATAAAAGAGGATGTACTTTAGCAAGCTACTTTGGAATTCGGCAGACCCACACGTGGTGACGAACGGGGGTTTAGGCACTTAACCATTATTCCAGTTTGTAATATTTCAGTTTTGAAGAGGTTTGCGTAACGGAAAATCGCTACGTTCCCAAGAATTAATCCGTTTACACAGATATTAAATTAATGATTTTAATTGGTATTACGTAGGTAATCAGAATTAACGTTTTATCATTTTTGAATTGACGTTATATAATCCTATTTTTAAAACAGCATGTTTGTTCTATGATAAAGATCACTTTTACAGATTTTATTGTACTTTGATATCTATTGGAAATTGCGCTTTACAAAATACGGAAACGAATCAAAATAATCAATAATTGATTGAAGACGTTCCGAATATTTTCATTCATTTATTGGTAATATTGATTTATTAACTTATTTAGTAAAGCGTAATTTCCGTAGGACACAGAACTACAATAGAATTTGCGAAAGGTATTTTCATACTAGAACAAACAATCAAAAGATTACGTAGCAAAAATAAAATTACGTAATTTTTGCTACGTAAGTTGATCAATAAAACTTTATTGTAATTATTTTCTTAGTTAAGATTATTATATTCAGAAAAGTATAATAATATTCGAATAGTTTAATTAGATTTATTTCATTTTAATTTTTCTGTGTATGTATAACAAGGGAAAGTAGCTGAGTCGTGTCAAAATTGATTCTCTGAAATTTTTTGAATTTCCAAGTTTTGAGACTGTTCATCCCAAAAGATAAAGAAATTACCAAAAAAATTTCATGGATATGTATGTACTGTATAGTAGAGGAACATCTGTCAGTGCTGTGTTTTCGTTACCAATTTATTATTTTTTTTATAGGTAAGCAATTTGCTTTTTCATTTGGTTGTTTTACTTTAATCTTGTTTATTGGTTTTGTATTATTTTTGACAGATGCTCCCAAACTTTAACTTTAAACTTTAACTAATTATTATATTTGAGTTTTAAATCTTAATGTTTAAATTGTTATTTATTTAAATTAATATTGTAATATAGGCCTATAATTTTTAATTGTAATCTTATGTCTATTGTATTTAAGTGTCTTGTTCTTTTTGGGAGATGATTTTGCTCCCCGCATCAAAAAGTGTATCCAGTATGCGTAATAAATAAAAATTAAAAAAAAAAATACTGTATAGTACGTGTGTATTTTAGCGTCAATTTCGTTAGTTAGCTTTTGTCGCAGTGTAAAATATAAAAACTTCGTTTTTTTTGTACATCAGATTTAAAATAACATTTGTTTATTCAATTGAGTATTTGGTCTTTTTTAGCTCTTTGTCATCTATCACAATATTAATTGTGTAATAAGTAATCAAAAAAATAGAGAGGTTGCATTATAATACATATGTCAAGGGTAGCTCTACTTTTGTCCACTACTGTATATATATATATATATAAACCACTTTATCAACACATCGCTTGTTCTTCACAGTTGTTTTCTTGATGGTTAATTAATACAGAATGATGCTTGCAAACACCTGCTTTACACTGTTTCAACTAAACTTACTGTTAATTCATCTATATATATATAAAAAAAACTGCACAATTCTTAGAATTAGCATTTTATTTTATTGTTTACTTTAATTATTTTGTTACATCTTTGTAAAATCACTGTTAACATTAATAAATGTAGAATAATTAGTGTGCCCAATATAAAACATTTGTTGACACAACAATAAAAAAATATACAAACTGCGTTAAACACTAAGAAAAAATATTAGACTTTCACGATAACATTATATGTTTACTGTATTTGCATATACAAGATAGCTACTTAAGTTTTAGAGATTTCCCCTACATGTATATACATAAATCCTGTTTATATCAAATGAAATTACAACCAATTAGTTTTAACGAAAATTCGGATTAACAAAAGTCACTCCGGTATTGAAACNATATATATAAACCGCTTTATAGACATTTCGCTTGTTCTTTACAGTTGTTTTCTTGATTGTTAATTAATACAGAATGATGCTTGCAAACACCTGTTTTACACTGTTCCAACTAAACTTACTGTTAATTCATCTTTATAAATAAAAAACACTGCACAATTCTTAGAATTAGCA